AATGATGCTTTTTCCCCCCCCTCCGGTTTTTATAATAAAAGTGAGGAGAAAGGGTCAGTCAGCTAGTTTGAAGGGGATCCTTGTTTCTTTCCTATAGCCTGGTGAGCCCTGACTGTCTGTTTCTTAAAGTTTTCTGTCTTATTTCCAACTGCCTCTACTCTCCTTCCATCACATTCTGCAAAACCCAGAGCATGAACTCAGCACAGACCACGCTGGCTGATCCAGCCCCCTTACCTCCGAGAGCTTGCTGTCTTTGAAGCCTTAGATGATACATGCAAGAATCACGCCATGAAGATTAGAGTTCAAATACCCAGGGACTGGAATGCTTTCTTTCCCAGCCCTTATTAATCTAACAACCAAAAAGGCTATTTACTGAAATGGCAAACACTCAGTGACAAGAATAGGCTTTTCCTATTGCTCTGTCACCTGCTTGCCAGCATCTAGTCATAGGTGACTCACCCCAAAGCAACGTAATAGCTCTTCTCTCATATACACTTTTTTTTTTATATATATATATATATGTCACACACACGTATTCCTACATAGACAGACAAACAGGAGAAAACATAAATAGACAGTTACGTGGGTTAGGTGGGAAGAGAGTGCAGCTTTTGCAGTGAATGATCTCCTTCACAGCAGGCATGTCCGGAGGGATGGGAGGTGGGACTATCCCCAAGCCTGGCATCATGGGGTTGATCGGAGGGATTCCAGTCATCATCCCAAGAGCGGGATCAAAATCTAAATGGGGTAAAGAATAAGGGAGTCAGGTAGTGGTTTGGACTCATACAGTAACTGTTTATTCAGACAGCAAATGGAGTACTCTCCCCACATGTGCCAGTGAAAATTAGCTGAATAAACAACAATAGAGAGGGAACATCACAATACAACTCACCAGAACTTTGGATTTTTGCCCTTAAAACAACTTTTTTAAAAAACCATTTCATTGTCGATTGCCTCAGCCAAATAAATTTTCTCTGTTTAAATAAACTACTTCCTTTTCCACTCTGTAGATACCATCTCCTATCTAGTGTCAAAACCTTCCCCAGTAAGGTTTATCCACATACAGAAATCTGTGGCATATGGAAACAGTGTAAAATCTAACCCAGTTTGGTTTCACTAAGTAGTTTAGTAGTGCAGACAGCTTGTGACACAGGGTTAAGGGCATCCACCTTGCAAACTAGACAAGTGCACCAATTTCAGCAGCTAAGAACGTGCCAGAATGATTCTGGGTAAAACACACAGAAGCATTTAAGGAAACACCTTACTGCATGTCTTACCTTGCTTAACTTGTTTCTAGGCTTTAATTAGCTTTAATTAGCTATCTAAGTAGCGTTTTACTTTGACTTTGTTCTTAGATTTGCCTCCAATGCCAAATAAAACTAAACAGAGCTGTCAAAGGAGAGGTATTTTATCTGTTCAGAAGTTGCGAACTCTGGGGAAGCAATACCTGTAGGCAACCAAAATGGAAACGGTACGCCTAGATGCCTTACGGAGAAGTCTCATGAGTTTGAGAATGTCAGCAACTAAGCTGTAAGGACCAGCTGGTACTATCGGGGTGAGATCTCAGGAAGAACTCCCTCCTGCAAGTGCACGACATCTTCTCTATGCTCTGCCACCACTACTCTCTTTGCAGAAGCAGCTCTGAAGACCTAGGCAATCCCAGAATACCACAGGACCCTACCACAGAATAGGGAATCCCGAGCACTACAGAGCCTTTGAGTCTGGCTGCTTGTTTCAGGTGTAGATGGATAAAATTAATTTTGCAAGGCACAGACAAAAGTTACAAATAAGTAGAACTGAGTGGTGCAGAGGCAGCATTTTCCTTTGATCCTAAGCTGGCATCATTTCAGATGCTATTCATATCCCTAAGGCAGGCAAACATTTTTGTATTCTTCTCTTCACAACCACTACTTACAGTAATCCGGATGCAAGACAACTTTTAGTGCCCAAATTGGATGTTTGAGTTTGGTAGCTGAATTTTGTTTTCCTTTGTATTTTGAAATATTTTACATGGGGCTACATTTCTGCACAGTTTATGTACATTGTTTTGCTTGCTAATTTGGATTTCCCTGCACTAGGTGCAAGTGTTGCTGTTCATTTTACGTCACACATGAACAGTCACAGTAAAAACACAGATCTGAGGCAAATCCTCTGCCACGAAACAGGCGTTTCAGAGGAAGGCACAAGAAATCTCCCTGTAGCCAACTGTGAAATATGGTTGTAGGGATACATGTGAATTGTATCCTCACCCATGGCCAGCTGATGCTGGGATGGCCTGGTCTGTGACACCTGGCTTGGAAAACGTGACGTTAAAGTTGCAGAATTTTAATATTTAAACTTTCATTAGTAGATTTCAGAGATGATACTGTCAAGAAGATCAGGCAGACAGCATGTTTTCAGCTACTTTAAATAGTATTTTCACCTGTCTTAAAAAAGAAAATAAAAATGATGCAAGTCTATCTTTAGACAGAGCCCCATTCCACAGCACAGGCAGCCTTACTGCTTCCTACGATGGCGCTACACAACTCCCTGAAACACCGCACACACGTTTCCAGAGGAAATGGGCTGTAAGGAATGACAAGGGTTGCCCTGAATGATCGAGGCTATACCTGTACAACTGCTATCTCGGGGCACAGAGGTCTTTGAGCTGGGGCTTGGCTCACAGGCTTGGACCAGGGAAGAGAGGATGGGGAGAGGCTACCCCATCCCAGATCTCTGCAATTTAAATTCATGTATTGCTAAGTTGAAGTTTAAGATGAAGGTCACCTTGTGGACGGCTGTGACCTTCAGTGACAAAACTTACTGAAGATGTGAGGTATCTGGAAAAAATCTGCAGGACTTAGTCCTAAGCAAATAACGTCCTGATCCAACCTGCAACAAGCACAGGACAGGCCCTCTCCTGAAGGGCTGGAAGAACGCTTGCCAAAACCAGCATCCTGGCCTCCAACCTACATCTTTTGGATTTCCTAGGTTTAGGCTGGGATGCTCATTACTTCCCTTCCTTTTGGCAACATCTGTGCCAGTAAACTCAGCTGTGAAGCATTAGACCAGTCTCACAAATGCTGCTGGTCTGGGCCAGCCAGTCCCTGGGCATGCAGCAGGTACCAGAGCAGACTCTGAAGTACCCCTCTAAGCAGCACAGAAGCCACCCCAGGACACCGGCTCTCCACAGCCTGTGCCCTGCTACACACAGCCTTGGAATCCTCCTGTTAAAGCACTCTCGAGATGGTAAAGAACCTCTTTGTTTTCCTGGAGCTGTACTCCAAAACATCAGCGGGGAGCGATCTGGACCTTGCCCACTGCTGCCTATCAAAAGCAACTGGAAGGAAGAGGAATAGCCAAAGCTCTCACTGCTGAGACAGCAGAGGATGGGAGATACGCGGAGCACACAGTGATCTGCTGGAAAACTCAGAGACCGTTCAAAATATCCCTGTGTTAGAGTCCAAGATCCCATTTGTCTTCCCAGCACAGTTTGATACAGGTACACCCAAGAGATCAAGAGCACGACCTCCGTGCTGGCAGCAAGAGGGGCAAAACAAGGTGCACTTCAGCCACCTCCCCACCACCCTTGGAAGGGTGGTAGCTGTTCTTCCCAGCCACCCTACAGCCAGAGGTGACAGGGGTCACGCTGGGCTACCTGCCACATGTCAAGGACACGCAAGTGAACCCACTGCTACAACTTTTGCAAGCCTCTAAATTCAGTCCCTTCACATTTTATAATTCTTCATGCCAATGAGAGGAGTCTCACCATGTCCTGGTAATTTGTTGCTGCTTCAAGGTTAGCTGACAGCAATGGGTATGGATGCCAATCAGAGAAAATCCTTAATGCAGGAACAGAGGAGCTTGGGGAATCCGAGGGAGGAGAAAGCCAAGATGGGGGTTTCTTTGATTAAGCAAGACTTACAGCTTTCTAAAAGCATGAATGGATACAATTATCAGAAGCAAAAGGACTAGCAGGGTAATGAACTATCACGTTATAATGAAAAGTAGAAAGCATGTATGCAAGGGCAAACAGAGCTCGTGGTTGTTGGATTTGTGGTGAGCCCCACTGTTTATTGCTCAACCAGCAACGTGTAAGGCAACTTGCCAGCTTGCGTAGAGACCTGCTTCTTCTGTTAAGAAGCTGAGCCCATGGCTACAGGCCAGCATCCAAGAGGCTTAAGAAGCAGATTCAGAAGAGCCAGTCTCCATTTTTAAGAACAGAGAAAGAAGAAAAAAGTCCTCGAGGACTCTAAAGAGTTCAGAAACATTAGGCCTGGCAGGTACTTTTTGGTGAAAGCTGCAATAACCTTTTTTATACAAAGCTGGCAGTGGCTGGAGGGAGTGAAAGGTGCTGTGCATTCATTTTAGACATTGAGATCTTCTTAAAGCGTCTCACAACTACATGCTTTACTTCATCTGTAGGAATAGAAATTGGCTGGTAAATTCTTAAGCATTTTTAGACTTTTTTTTACTGTGACCTGAAACTTTAGTCCCACCTAGCTTTCAGCAAAGATGGCATGTCAAGCTTCCATTGTCTCTCATCTTCAGTAGATACTATAGATACAACTAGTCTAAACTTCAGGCCATCACTGTGCTTGGGAACTGATCCATATTCACCAGAGCATCCTGCTCTCTTGCAGCCAGATCAGAAAATAATATTTTGCTCCTTCTAAAACATTCTGAGTTGTTTGTGTTGGGTGCAGACCTCCTGATCTCAAAAGGATCAAAACGAACATCACTCGGAAGCCTTCCCCTATTCTTACAGCAGGGAATGGGAGACCGGCTCCAAACTTGTGTGCTCTCCTAGGACAGACTTCTGTTGATTTTTACTTGACAGAAGCAGATGAGCAGGAGAATGACATGAAAACAACACCCCTACAGCAAAGACAAGTGTGAAACAAGGCCTAGGGGACAGAAGAGTACAGGCTGCATGCAAAACTTACGGCAAGTCAAGCGATGCTGTTAGTTAAACGTAGTATCAGCTGCACAGCAAGCTACCTGCTCTATGCCACAAGAGCAGAAATAGGATTGTAGAGTGCTGCCAACACAGACACTCCCTCCCCAGGTGAGCAGGCAATTATTCAGGCAGGAGACAGCATCTTTCTCAAGCGCTTCATGCAGTAAAGCACTGAAACAGTAATTTCATTTCAGGATTTTGATGCACAGGCATTCTGCACTGCTGAGAAACAAGGTACAGCACAGCTCTGTTCCTACAGGAGCTTTTTAACAAATCCTGGATAGGATGACTCACCCATGCGCATGTACTCTGGACTACAAGGTGGTCATTTCTGGAGCAGAAACCTCCATTGATTTCTGCCATATCCATTTTACTGCCCTATTGCTTCCCTCTTCATCTCCCTCCCAGCCTTCCTTTTAAGCAGTTCCAGTTCAGCTCAGAATAACGTGTTACTTGATATCACTGGTTTCCTGAGCTCTGCGTGGGACCCTCCTCCTGCAGAGTATCTACAGGTACCCCACAATAACCATTGTTTGCATCAAAAAACATGTATTCTCATTTCCTCTGAAATCAGTTTTAGAACTCTGGCCTCTAAGTAAATCACTTGCAGACATTAACGCATTTCAAACACAGCTTATTAATGTTTTTTGTATGCGGTAGGCATTTATCCAACTCAACTGAAATAGGTTCTTCTCAAAGACATGTTTGAAAGAAAAGGTGAGCACGGTCTGGATGAGCTCACGTACCAGGCAGGAGGGGCTGTCCTGTCATCCCCATGGGAGCCATCCCTAGATTGTTCATCGCAGTGGTCCAGGCAGTTGGGCCTGACATTGGCAAGCCCATCGGAATGGAGTCGAGGCTTAGATTTCTGCCACCATCTGCTGAGAGGAAAAAAGCGATGAAGAGCTTAGTGCATATCTTAACTCTTCTGCAAGGCATACATTGCCCAGCAAGGCTCTGCAGTATCAGCATCCAAAACCAGATTTGAACCTAACACATAGGAAAGAGCCAAATGAAAAAAAAAAACAACAAACCAGGTCTGTCCCTCTTGAGTAGACGACCTCTTACAGAAGCAAGGTCTATGAAAACACTGCCTTCCAAGAGCATCTAAATAAATTATGATCTATCCACTACAATCAACAGCTCTAAGGGGCCTTAAAGGAACACTGATTAAAGGCAAGGGGTACTCTCTGATTCCTCCCAGAAGATTTATGAACAAAGGACAAACATTCAGCAGGTATAAATTGGCATAATTGCACTGGATTTAACAGAGAGGGCCAGTCTGTTCCAGCAGAGAGTACTTCCACTGCCATTTGAAGACATTTCTCCTCCATGCTAAAAGGAGAAATGAAGCAAAGAACAACGTCATGCTGCTGACAGCAGCAGTACCAGTGTTACTTACTCAAGGTCTAGCAGAGTTATCTGGCAATCCAGGTGGAACCATTAACATTACACAAACACATGGCTTAATTAAGCATTCAAATCTTCTTCAGTGATTTAGCTAGGTCAGCCATGCCTTTAGCTGGTTACTTCCATGTACCACCGAGACATATGTTTGTTCTTTTTGTTTGCACGGGTTTTAACTAAAGGTGCCCAAATGCAAAAATATCTGGGTTTTTTTTTTTTAAATAAATGTTTAGCACAAGGTTAACTCTGCACAGGGGAAACAAAAAAACCAATCCCCACAAACTTTTTTTCATGTGGAAAAACACAGAAGGATTCATCCAGTTCAAAAAAGCCAACAATATCAACAGTGTTACTGACAGAAGCTGTATGAAAAAATTCCCAGCTCTAACCTGAAACTCAGAAGAGTTGATATTCTCTCATCTCGTATAACCCAGGACACACCCAGTGCATAGACTCCCAAAGCTCTCCTGAAGCTCTCCATAACACACCAGCAGGAGGAAATTTATTGACCATTTATCTCACCCTGTGATTTAATGATTCAGAATTTCTGTTCCCCACCTCGTTCCACCACTCCTCTCCTCTTGGCCTTAGAGAGGGGACAAGAGATCAGTTCGCCTTCCTGAGGTGCCACCTCTACGCCCCTGGTGAAAGTCTCCCTCCGCACTGACCCATCTTCTGCTAACCACCCAACCCACGTATCACTTGGGCCGTCTCCAAAATCCTCATCTCCCACGCTCAATTTAAATGAAGCACTGCCAAGGTCGAACACCTACCCTTGGCTTCATCTTTCCCTCCTGTCATTGCCAGTCCCACCACCCTTTGCAGTACAGTCACCCGTTTCACTTTTTACATTAGCCAAGCCCTACACACTAGCCCAATGCCTACACTGGAGTTAGCCTATGTACAAAATGCCACCTGCACACCTCTTTTTTCCATATCTGACAGATCTTATTGACTGGGGGGAAAACAGAACATCCTTTGAAATAGCTTAGACCTGATGCTCAATAGTCAGCAGACTTAGTCGAGTCAAATATGAATTAAAGCAGCATAAACAGAAAAAGAACATACTACACCCCGAAAAAAGGAAAATTCAGCGCTCTCTGCGTCAATGCTGAAATCTAACTTCAAGCATGGTTTTTGGAATAAGACTGACTATTCTAGGTTCACAGCAATGTGTTGCAATATAGTTAGATAGATGGCAACATGACAGGCAGGATCTACAGCACATCACAGCCGGTGAGCGAAGGAAATGGGTGCTTAATTACGGTATTTGTTCACCAATTAGAGGCAGTAACACTACTGTGAACCAACAGCTGACACTAACTTGCATTTTATTATGACAACCTGCTCACTCACTGCTTTTTAAGTGGGAAAAACCATGCACAAGAACATCCATTTTGCCTCAACATAAGAACACTAATGAATTTATTCCTTTCAGACTTGTATAAATCTCTAATCCTCAGCATTATCTACTTACTTAAAGGGGGCTTACAAGAAAGATGGGGACAGACTTTTTAGTAGGGCTTGTTGCAATAGGACAAGGCATAATGGTTTTAAACTAAAAAAGGGTAGATTCAGACAAGATCTAAGGAAGAAATTTTTTTACGCTGAGGGCGGTGAAGCACTGGCACAGGTTGCCCAGAGAGGTGGTGGATGCCCCATCCCTGGAGACATTCAAGGTCAGGTTGGACGGGGCTCTGAGCAACCCTGATCTAGTTGAAGATGTCCCTGCTCATTGCAGGGGGATTGGACTAGATGGCCTTCAAATGTCCCTTCCAAACCAACCCATTCTATGATTCTATGATCGCACTCAGTCGTGTTTCAAACAGTCAGCTTTTGTGACCTGTGGCCCACCTCTCCTGAAAAAATCAATGCTGAGCTGTCCCAGTTTTGTAACTCCTTTGTTTCAGGAGATCTGGGACAAGCCTGAACTTTAGTTATCACCATTCGCCTGTCAATGTGAGAGTGCACAGGCTACCAGGTCGGGCACAAAGAGAAAGAAACAAAGGATACCGAAGAAGTGAAATGGTATTACCGAGTTGGCAGCTGCTAGTTTAAAGGAAAGAAATGAAATCAAATATTAAGAAAGGAAGTACCAACATGAAAGCCAAAATATGCAGGAGAAGGCAGCAATGCAGTGAGATCATGGATCATCCCACTGCACAAGGGTGAAAAGCTGAGAGCTCCCTTGCTGTCCGGTAAGCGTCTGTCCAGAAGAGACTGCACCGGGGTGACACACAGAACGCCTACCTATCCCAAGCATACCTGTCCCAGTCCAGAACCATATGTATTTTTCAACAAATAAGATCACTGCATGTTATTCAAGTTGTGCAAGGTCCTGGTCTCACACCTCTGCATCCAGATGCCCAAATGAAAACAACATTTAGATTTTGCGATCGCAATGTGGGCAGCTGAAGGTTGTGCCAGAACAACCCACAGCCCTCTTCAAGGCTGCCCCGACCGCAGAAATCCTGCCAGCAGGGTCAGGGTACTGAAAGTCGCCCTGTTAGAGTGCACTGCACAGCTCAGCCCGAAGAACTTGGATATTCACCGTTTCCGACAGTAACAATCAGATTTTGATGCTTAAAAGGCAGATCTGCACTGAAACAATCCAGCGCAGGATTGTACACAGGTTGTCTGTGTATCCAGCATGTGCAAGAGGCACATGAGACATTTAAGGACCTCCAGGCGTATAAAGAAAACATGCAAAATAATGAAAAGAACAAAATAAACTCCTGACTCTACTCGCTTCCAACAGTCCTAGATGCCTCCTTTGGGGCAGGTGACAGACCCATCTACATTATCTGTACCCGCAAGCTGACTTAAGTCTCCCATCAGCTGGCATACATCTGACAGCAGAGAGGCAGAAACGACCACCTCCTTTCCAGAGGGACAAAGGAGCTTTCACCCAAAGTCCTCCTCCTCTTCCTGCACCTCTGAACAGGCCCCACATCTGCTTCGCACACCTCTGGGAGTGGTACCCAAGCACAAGGTACGTACATTTGGAAGGCGAGGTACTCACATGCCATCAATATGTTACCTGAATCCCAAGGGAAACAGTCGGGCTGTCACGCCTCCGAGGGACCCCTGATGTTCATACCTTCTTGGTACAGAACGGGCAGATCACAATTTTGTACCACATGACATTACACATTGCAAAACTGAGGTCACAGTTACATCGTGTTCCACACTTGGACAAAATCTCTACAAGGAGTGAGAAAGCTATCTTCTTGCTGACTGCGTCACAGAGACAACAGGATCTCAAAAAAGGAAAAGGAGTCCTGCTCTGGCTGCAAGGAGATGTCTTAGGGCAATTCATCTTAGTTGAATCAAGAAATGAGGATGTAGGAGGGTGAACGTGGCAGACATTTGTAACCAAAAAAAGCTTATCAGAGATAATCTAGAGAGGAAAAATAGAAAGCAGCTGCAAAAAAGACTGTTTTCTCAAGGGATTATAAAGGTGACGGTTCATTCAAACACAAATGGGAAAGGACAGGGAGGGAGGAGACGACACATTAGAAGGACAGGATAAGCCCTCGGTCAGGAGGCTAAGCTCCACACTCCCAGTGGAGCTCTCCTGTGCTCCCGCTATCAGCATCTCAAAACCATCCCTAAACTGTGCTGGACTGTTATCTGTAAAGTTCCACATTTTCCTTTAAGTTTCCTTTAAAGGATTTTTCTCTTCAGGGAAACAGATTTGGACTTTCTCTCTACCCAATTACATTTCAACCTCTCTTTCTGCAACTGCTTTGCGCATCGCCTTCCCTCAGTGAGATGGCCTTCTGCTGCAAAACGGCACCTCTGCCTCCGGTCCAGCCTCGTCCTTCCCCTCCTGCACCTGGCATCTCTCTATGGAAAAGTTACACAACTAAGTCCCGCAGACTGCTCTTTACGCGATGTATGTAACATCTCATCTTCATGGCATGAGCAGATGCCCCGTTTCCCCAGTCACACTGGTGGGATTGCAGTTTTCAACCACAGTATCATCTGCAAATACATTATTCCATCTGTTTTTTTTCCAATCACTCTGTGAGAAATACAAGGAAAATTTCTTAGATACCAGCTTCAGTAAGGCTCCTAGATCTGATGTTACAACATCACAAGCCATTATGGTCCATTTAACAATTTGCTTTTATTACATTATCTTAAACATGAACGTCTCCAGTCATTCAGGCTGATCTGCCTTATTATGCTTTTCATTGTGGTCATGATTTTAATATTGAGGTATTGTCCAATTAGAAAAAAAGGATAAATCTATTGGGACAGGTATAGAGATTCCACAATGCTTAAAAACAAAACAAAAATTGCTTTTGTTTTGCACAGGAACAGCAACGAGCACTCACCCAAAGCCATGCAAACATGGAACCACAAACACTGGTCTGACTGCAAGCAGTGCCAGACCACAACTTCATTTCCATCTGTCCACCTTCTGCATTAACACCTTAGCACAGCGCTGTTTTCAGTCTACACTTATGTGGATGCCTTCTCTACCAGCCACCGAGCTGCTACTCGGCTCACCTGGAGGAACGTTTGCTCTCTTCCTCTTCTTGCCCGGATCGCTTCCATTCTCAGCTGGGCTCTCCGACACCCGCGGGCCGGCAGCGCTGCCGAACTGCAGAGATTTGTTGTTGCTGGCAGGATCAAAGGACAGATGGTTTAAGCCTAAGAGAGAAAATACACTCAGAGACTTTCTTTAAATTGGTTTGCGATGGTTCAGGATCACAGTAATAAGAGAAATGCCCGGTCCCAGGTACAAGCAGCCCTTCAGGCCCTTAGAGGAATTGTGCCTCCTCTTTACTGTCCCCAGCTACGCCTGATCTTAATGTTACACTGATACCACTGTAAAATATTATTCACAAACATTAATCCCAACACCCACACAAATCAAACTGTTTGATACTGTAAACCAGGGGTGCATCTCCCCTGTGCTGTAAAGTATTTCATGTTTGGAAACTCAGAGACCAGAATATTTTTCTATTTCTTCCAGTCCAGGAATACATTTTTAATAGTTACTGAAGCTTCACCCAATTTGTCACCAGTTGTGAATTCACCCAGAATTATTCACTAGCAAAAAACAAGGCACGTCTTAGATCTTCAAAAACACAAGGTGCTATTTATTCAAGGAGTCTGGCAAGCAGTTGCCCCCCTTTGTAGCCGAGGAAGGGTGCTCTGCAACGCACATCCCCAAAGAGGGGAGCTCACAGGCCCAACCGACTGGACCAAACTCCTCCTCAGTCAAGTGATGGATCCACTATCAGAGTCCAGACAAACTTCTTCAGCCTCAGGGCTCAAGTCCCCTCTCCCCTACCCCGCAGCACAGGAACAGGTTTTCCTTTGCGGGCACCAACTTGTCTCCGATTCCCACTCCACCAGTCCTCAGTCACACCATCACCACCCACCCCATGCACTGGGCAAAGGCTAATGAGAGCCACAGGAGATGCTGGCAGTGCCTCCATATGCTTATTTTAAGAACCACAGCACTCAAAGACAGAGTGCCTTGAGTCCTGTTGCTCAGAGTTTGTTATTGATAGAGCAGATCTACCAATGAGTTAGGTTTACTCAAGAATAAATTTAGATTGACCCATATAAATTAAGTAAATCTAAGGTAAAGATATAAAACCAGAACACTTAAGATGGTACGTACCACCGAGACCCCCTTTGCCTGATAGCACACTACATGTTGGTTTTAGACACAGCTGTCCACCTTTTCAACAGCCATCATCCACGTTATGAGCTGAGATACCCCACCATCTTGGAGAACACCAACATAACTCACGTTTTCCAGGAAGGATCCTGATGGAGACACCAAGGCCCGTACAGACCCATGAAGACCAGAATTAGGTTTCAAAAACAGTGCAACTTTTTAAATATTCACTAACTATAAAGCACACTCTGAAATATCAAGTAACCAATAGTCTGAATATTACTCAAAAATTACTTAGCTGATCACTCCGATAAAGTTTTTTGTGTTTCCTGGAAGTTTTGAGTTTTTCCCCATTCACAAACATTCCCATCCCTACACAGGACAAGTTACTTCAGTGTCGAGCCCAAGTTTCACAAGAAATATCCAAGCATGTGTTTACCACACAAGTGAAGAAAAAGCAGCAGTTAAGAAGTAAGGAGAAATACGATGAAGCAGAACAAAAGCTGCCAGAAGTAAGTGCTGGCTGGTGCGATGGCTTTCGCACTGCCCCCCAAACGTCCAAGCACTTAAGCAACACAGAGCTGAAGCCTGGATGCTCGTGCTCAGGCAGCCAGGAGAGGCGAGCAGCGGCGTTGGAGCCGGCTGCGTGTGAAGAGCATCCACTGCACCACGCTCAGGCTGCGCACGCCGGGGCTCCCGCGGTCCCCACTGCCAGGATCCAGCGTCAGCCCACGAGCCTCCGAGGCCTCATTGCTAACACTTGCATTTTGACAGGTCACAACCCCCAGAAGCAAATCAAGACAAGGCAGATGGGTGCGCCACAACGTCTTGCTGTCTCAGTGCAAAAGGTTTAGTACAAGAGACTCCTATAACTACTCAGGCTGCCAGTCAAAAAAAAGTTGCAGGGGGAAAACAAATTGTTCTAATGGACACATGTCAGAAGAAAAGGAAGTTTCAGAAAACCCGCAAAGTGAAGGAGCAAGCACAAGGAAGAACGTCCAGTTGTAAATGCTGACAGCATGCCAGACTCCTACAACCTGATGACTGTAGTCCTCAGATGGTTTCTTCTCCTGAAATAGCTTCTTCGGAGTTTAATTCCTGATGTTCCCCCACCTGGCTGACCAAAGTTGTACCTATCTTCAGTGGCCTCTTCCACATCCCTGAGAAGGTGTCTATATCCCCACCCGCTACTTCCTAGGAGCCAAGGCTAATTAACGGGGGCTAAACCTCACTCCTGTCAAGGCACATCACCAGGACGGAAACTCAGAGGGGAACCAGAACAGCCACCATGGGGAGCAGGAAACCTGGATTTTGGTCTCTGTTCCCATCTTCTCTCCTGTGAGCACCCCAAGTACAGTTTCAGGTGTCTATAAGAGCTTTGAAGCCCAATGTTGTTTTCCAGCATCATCCTACTACAGCCAACTAGTTGTTTAAACGGTTACAGGATCTCCCTAGATAATCCTAGTCGCCCTGTAATGAAAATCAAAAGATTTATAGGAAAACTCAGTTATGGAGGAAGAAAAAATTGCAGAGGAACAGAGCTTGCTGATGTGGTCGTTGATACAGTGGAAGTGGGGAAAGGAATAAGGTTTTTTGACACAAGAGGCATTTGAATGAGACAACTTTAAAGGAATGGACAGTTTGGGTTATAAAAAGAAGACATTTGAGAAAATACTGTTTGGAGCTTTTTCTAAGACCACAAGAGAGCATTTCTAAGGGGAAATAAAATAAAACTGATACTACAGAAGCCCAACTGTATGGCTCAACAAAAACAAGGCAAAACCTGTCCACTGCATCTGAGTTGGGGAGCAGCGGGAAGCAACCATCACAATTTCAGGTCATCTCCCATTCAGTCACATGGGGGTCAAAAGGCTTTTATGGACAATTCACAAAACTGGGCAAGACTGGGGGTCTCTAGGGGATATCAGGAAACAGAGAAAAAAGGCAAACGGATGCTTAAACAACTGACCACTATATAAAGTAAGAAAAGCTAATTATGCAGATTTGAACCAAAGAGGATTGAAGAAAAACTGTTTTGCAGCTTCCAGTGCATTTCCTAATTCAGTGTATCTATTTCAGAGTAATTCTGTGCTAAATCATCTTTTAGACAATCACCCTCCACAGATCTGTGGTGGACATATTACAAGTGATGGTCAATTAATCGCACTTATGTGCCAGCAGAACGTGGTCCCAACCATTCCTGGCTCTCTAAAATGGTCTGTTTCTTAAAACTACAGATGACAAGAAAAAAGCACTTTGTAAACAATTCCAAATTACTGGAGGCTTCAAACATAAAGCTTCAAGTATGCAATTAAACACAGCAAGTTTTAGAGGGGTATACTGCCCTTAATTGAGCACCAAGTTCATTATTCTACCTTCTGTCATATTCAGCACTTGCAGGATGCAAGACTGAGGGACATTAAAATATCCAGCTTGATTTATCTTTGTCTCAGCAAACTCACTCTGAATAGTCAATGGGAAAAAAAAAATCCTTTTTGTGGACCCATATAAAGTGATAAAAATAGCTACATTTCTGCTAAGGTATGCCTATGTTCCTGGGGGCTGAAATCAGCAGAACTACAGCAGTACCAAAGATGACAATTATGCCATCTCAATGCACTGACGGGCCGAGGCATTTGTACCAAACCTTCCTCTAGACACACTGCAGCGTTGTGATTTCTGTTCTAGAGGATTCCACTTCCAAGAACTTGTTAATAAACATGGTTGTTGTGTACGGCTGTAAATAGACAAGAGTGGATACAGAGAGCCTGAAGGGGCTCTTCTCTTAGCTACTGAAAGGTGAGAATGCAAGAAGCAGCCAAAAAAAGTAAGTACTATTCAGCTGGCAACAACAATAGTCACGCCTGACTACACAAGATGCCTACAATGCTGTTTCTTAAATACCCCAAAGTCAAAATATCACTGAGGTCATGAGGGCTCAGGAAAACAAATCTCAAAAGCAGCAGGTTAAAAATAGAGAGAGGCCACACACAGCAGAGAGATAGGGAGAACAGAAAAGGAGCAGTTGTAAGATTTACCTCTATTATTATCCAGCTGATGGAAAAGGCAACATTAAACTTGAAAGTGTGTTTTCCCAGGCTTGGGCATAGGGAGGGATCCAGCCGGACACTCATGCCGCCAGGCCTGAAGTGGACAGACACCCTGCTCTGGCTGAAGATGACATGCCATACAGATGCTCAGCATTAACCAACACCTGAATGTTAACGCACACCACTCAGGTGATTACTTTCTAACCCACTGAAGAGCAAAGGCAGCTACTTACTCCAATTATTTCCATCATCAGTTTGAGCTAGGATGCTTGATTACGCTCTGCAGTATAGGAGGAGCACTCAGATGCTGCATCTGCTCTGATGACTGTGCTGGGGAGGGAGGCGGCCGTCTCCAGCAGAGGTGAGATAACAAGGAGTGAAAAACTACTTGCACTCTTCGCAAAAAAAATTTTTATTAACGTATTTTGGAAAAAAAAAAACCCAAACAGATTCCTTAGCTACAGGACAAACACTGGGGTCTACAGGAACAAAGGAAGTTCTCACAGCTGTACAGCCAGCACCCCTGTCAGTTAGGTCATGAGTCAAGCCGTAAGAAAGTGCCTGAACCAAGTGAACAGCTCATGCCAGACCAGAAGGGAGGCAGCCCTGCACCCTCCCAGCTGCCCAACACACCCCGTACACCCGTGCCAGCCCTGGAGACCTCCCGTGATCTGATTCAGCTCACACCCCAGGCAGAAATTAATGCAGCTCCAGGGAAGAAGATAAATTTCTGCTAAGATTAGTACATCCAAGTTGCTCAGGGAAGGCTCCAACCCTAACCTGACATACATAGGAAGGAGCAGAAACAGACCTACAAATGCCCTTAAGTCTTCAGCATCAGGTCCCATGACCCTGCCTATCCACCGCTTCTGTTTGCTTTGCAAACGAAGCACCGCATAGCTGCAAATCAGCAGGCAACTTGCTACGGATCAGCTGTGAGCCAGCAACGTCTCCCCTGCTTTCAGCAT